AAAAGGACTAGGGCAGCACAGGTGATGAGCTCCTCTGCCCTTGACAGCCAGGGGAGTGGGAGCAGAGGTCTTGCACTCATATGCCAGGGAGATGCCAAGGTCACATTTCAATGAAACAGCACCTCCGAGTGAACACAGAGATCCTGCATTAACCTCTTCTATTCAGAGGTTTCCAAATGTGCCAAACAGTCAGATCTCATGTGAAAAACCTCCCCACTTAGTTCTCTTCAGCAGCTCTCAGCCCAGCTGAAGGACACGAAGTCATGTCCCGCCTCCAGCCATGCACTGGAGTTGTGAGTTCAGGTCACAGCATCTCCATTGCACACATATCCCTGGAAACAGCATCCTCACTGCACGTGTTATAGCCAGCAATTCCCTCCTGCCAGGATGCTGCTGCTCAGGAGGCATCCACAGTCCAAAGGCATTCCTGCAGCTGTGAGCTCTCACGCAGCCACATCTGTGCATAGGGATACACCTCCCTTTGGGTTATCCAAAAGGAAGGGAGAAGAGGAAAAAGGGAAGAGACTCCTCCGAACGCCTGCATTTTGGAACAGCTGCCCCCAGCCTGACCTCTGAGGGAGGTTGGTCATTGGGGAAGAGGTCTAGCAGGGTATTCACAGGCTGCATTTGGACCAGCAACTGTAGGCATACCCCTGCTTAGGAGGTGACAGCTGGGTCTTGTTTATCCTGAGGGAACGCAGTACGTCCCGTACTTCTACAAATTCTAGGACACCTAGACCATACAGCCCATTGAGTAAAAGAAAACTACATCACATTTGAAAGGGAAGAGCATTTGGAGAGGGGGTCCTTGCCTACAGGGCCTGGCTTAGCCAGTTCTCCAGGCACAGCCACCACTTGGGCTTTGCCTGGAACAGGAGTTGTTCTGGGTTTAGCACGTGCATATCAGATCTAAATATGAATATATTTATCTCTGTCTAGACAGATCCCACAGCAGCCACTCTGTCTGCTGCAGCCAGGGGCCATACTTTCCACGCACCAAGAAAACACTTATTTTTGCTAATAAAGAGGAAAACCAGAGCACTGGCCCCAGCACAGGTTTACTCTGAGGCTGGAGTGGGTCTCACCAGTGCTGTTCTCAAGGGAGCCCAGCCAGAGCCCTGGATGAGGCCCTGGGGAGCAGCCCCCCAGCATCCCACCTGCTGCAGCACCAGGCACAGGCACACAGGATGCATGAAATCATTCCCACGTTGCTCAGGAAGATGAGGGCAATTGCATATGTAAACCATGAATCCTCAAAAATTTTAATGCATTTCAGGGGCCTTAGGATCTCTAATCTGATGGGAGACACTCGCTGCCCTGCAGGAGACAGCTCCAGTTTGCACTGGGGTGCAAAGAGCCAAGGAACCCCAGACTGGAGGTTACCAATGCAAAAGGCAGGCAGAGCCACAGGGTCCCAGCTGAGGCAGCCAGGGCACAGAAAGTACCAGATTTCACAGAATTTCAGTGTGAAGACCTTCTCCCTTGAAGGCTCTGGAAGCTTTGATGTAGGAGGGAGCTGGGTGGCAGAACTCAGACGTGGGAGGCAATGACAGCAGCTGTGGCAGACAGATAATAAGACAGATCATCACGGCAGACAATACTCAGGTAGAGGAGTTGTCACGTGGATGTGGGTGGTTTCTTAGAAGAGATGATGGGAGTTCACTGAAGTTCAGGACCAAGTGTGCTCTGATTTCTAACCAGGACTGGCAGACAATCATGCACATACCCCCAGCCACCTCTCTGCACCTACAGTTATTTTGCTGCCAGATTTACCAATGATCAGTTTCCAGTTATTTGTGGAGGTTACTCCAACAACAAACTTTGTATTTGGGGTGCAATAAAGAACAATGGAACTGTCTGTTGTGGAGTAAACTTAGAAACATAGAATATCCTCAGTTGGAAGGGACCCACAAGGATCATCGAGTCTAGCTCTTGGCCCTGCACAGGACAGCTCTAAAGCCTGAAGCTTGACCCCCAACATGAAGCTATTTAGGAATTACAGGAAGGATGATACACCTCAAGCAGGCCCACAGAAGGACAGGTACGTGCACCTCCACAACACTAAAATTCAACTCAGTGCAGCGGAAAAAAAGAAATGGCTTATATCCAGTTTCGCTGCTTTATGAGGGATAAGGAAAGACTAGGTTATTTCTCAAATAACCCTAACCTCTTTTATTCCCTTGAGGCCCACTGCCCAGCAGCACCTGTACCAAGATGCCAAAGAAACCACCACAACACAGGTCCTACACCGATCTCTCTCTCCACTGTTCCCTGTCTCTCAGGAGGCATCACGCAGGGCCAACCCCACGTGGCTGCAGTTTACAAAAGCACAAAACATAAGTCAACCACAGGTGGTGGTTCTGCCTTGACTGAACCACCTGAACTGCCACCTGAGGACAGACAGGCACCTGGAAATCTCCTGCCCCCACTCTTGGCTCTTTGCTGCAGCTGCACGGAAGCGCAACAGTGAATGTCTGTAGTCCCCGGGGCCATGTGTGAGGGGCTCTGCAGAGGCAACTCCCAACGTTTCACCTGCAGTCCCCATCCCTCCACATCAGCCCAAAGGCAGTAGGATGGAGCCAGCCTGTGTCCTGCAGCTGGGTCCAGCACTGTGGCACTGCTCTGGAGGCAGAGCCCAACAGTTCCTGGATGGCTGGCTGCTCCAGGGGGAACACTTTGAACTCCTACTTTGAAAAAGTCTTGTAATGTGTATTAATTAATTAATTAATCTCTTTTTTCACAGTTCAAAGCTCCCTCCCTACAATCTTTCCTCAGTCCCAGCAAGGCATCTTATCAAGGCAGTGCCCTGCTGGGCAGAGAAAGCATCCAGCCCTGCACCACACCTGAGCAGTGCCCAGCGACACCCAGCTCCAGCACCTCTTTTCCAGGTAAGGGGAAGCCCTGTGGGAGGGGTGTAGGCTGTGTGCTAGGGCAGGGCAATACCCTGGAAAGCAGATGTGCTCCCAGTTCTCACCCTGCATCACAGTGTGTGCCCCAGGCTGCCACATGCCCGACTTTGCTGCTTTATGCATTTACTTTAAAAATGCACAACACGCTCCAACGCTCCAAAAGCCTTCCTCATCCATGAGAGCCCTGGAGGCCCTGCACCACATCACAGAATCACAGAATGGTTTGGGTTGGAAGGGACCTTAAAGATTATCCAGTTCCACCCCCTGCCATGGGCAGGGACACCTTCCACCAGCCCAGGTTGCTCCAAGCCCCGTCCAACCTGGCCTTGGACACTTCCAGGGATCCAGGGGCAGCCACAGCTTCTCTGGGCAACCTGTGCCAGGGCCTCCCCACCCTCATAGGGAAGAACTTCTTCCCAATATCCCATCTAACCCTGCCCTCTGGCAGTGGGAAACCATTCCCCCTTGTCTTGTCACTCCAGGCCCTTGTCCCCAGTCCCTCTCCAGCTCTCCTGGAGCTCCTTTAGGCACTGGAAGGGGCCCTCAGGTCTCCCTGGAGCCTTCTCTTCTCCAGGTGAACACCCCCAGCTCTCCCAGCCTGTCTCCAGAGCAGAGGGGCTCCAGCCCTCAGGGCATTTCTGTGGCCTCCTATGGACTCCCTCCAACAGCATCACGTTCTCCTTGTGCTGGGGACATCAGAGGTGGATACAACTTACACACAAGATTAATTTCCAATTCACAGGCCCCTTTGCAAAAAGTCAGAATTCATACAGTTGAGCATAAACATAAAACAAGTTTATTCAAGGTCTGGTGGATTTGTAGGGCAGGGGATGGCTCCTCATCTGTAGCTGAAGATTCTCTCAAGGCCAGTCCTAGTTGAAGTGCATCTCCCCTTTCCCCATGAAAGCACTCTGCTTGGTTACTCACAGGATGGTAAACCCAAACTTAAAACTTTTGCCATAACAGGAGACATTCTGAATTTTGATTGAATGCAACATCACACCATCCTGTACCCAGGGAACAAGCTGCCTGCCAGCAGGTCACACCAGTGAGGAGCTGGAAGCTGCCCTCAGGGACTGCACACACAGCATTGACACCGCAAGGTGTCAGATCGAGGTGTTCAAGAAGGTTTTGTTTGTTTGAGGAGGGTTAGAGCTGAGTTAAACCTAAAATCTTTTGGATTTTGTTTAAATTGCCAAGTATGTTTGTTAAACTCTAATCCTGTTTTCTTGGCCAAGTCTCCAAAATAATCTCATGCCAACTTCTGAACTTACACTTCTGTAGTAGCTATTGTTAGGAACTGTCCATTCCTGCTGTTCAGCAAGACTAGTACACATGTAAACGCCACATTGTAAAAAGGATTAAGCATGGGAAAAAAGAGTGTCTTTTGGGGGGATTCTGGTAATGTCTCCCCAGCTGAACTAAAAAACAGTGTCCAGTTGAACTCCAGGACATGCCAGAACACTGCTACAGAAGAAAGGGATTTTGAAGTAAATACACACATGCACACACGCACAGATTTTCACCTCCTGAAAACAAGATCTGTGCAGGCACACAGGCCACCTTCCCTCCTCCCTGGAAACAACTGAAGGGAGGAATATTGCAAACACAGGGAAGTGCTGCACATTAAAGACCATTGGGTGCATTCTGCTCTTTTCTCAGTCCTCCTTTGAAACAAAAACTAACCAACCAGGATGTAGCCAAATGCTTGGTATTCATGTAAGTGCAAGGTAGCTGAACTTCATAAGGCTGAATTGGGACAGGACCCAAGATCAAAACTTCCCATTTGTTTCACCATCATTTCCCAAACAAACATTCGGAATTAATTTTTCTTCATGAGAAGCTTCTTCCATTTTGCTTACAGTGGTTTTCTGTCTGATCTGAAGCATCAGGACATTCCAAGAAAATACTCAGAGAAGCTACAAGCAAAGGTCTTGTATGGATCTGGCAGCTTCAAATAAAGTTTCTAGTCAAAGGAAGCAATCACAAGTTTCTCTTCTCCTCCTTCCTACATGATCCAAAGAACACATCGCAAGGATGTAACTAAAACATGAGAACACTCATACCCTTGGAAATCAGCCACAAAGCAAAGACTTCTAAAGATGTTTATTAGGAAAACTGGACATTACAAGAGGACCAAACAGATTGTACAAGGCACGTGCAGTTTCTGGTACAATGCAGAGAACTAGAAAAGGCTTCAAATACAGGTAACACACCCACCTGAACTGCTACTGTGGGCACGTCACTGCTCAGGTCCCTTGCCACAACAGGCAGGTGCCAGGGTTCTTCAGGCAGCCAGCCAATCCCTGGGATGTTTCATATTCCTGCAGAAGTACAGATTGTACACAGAACTTTAATGATGGTTAAAACAAAATTCATATCCAGGATTGTCTACATCATTCTCCAAGTTGGGGCATTAAGATATTTCATTCAAGGTAATTTAGGTTTCATGCCCTTGTAGTACATTTTTCCCCAGGGATAATAAAACCTTGCTGTCTACACATGGTTCTGCCTAGCAAAGCATATCTGAGACTGTTTGCTTGGTTACCTAAGGAAGAAACCCAGACTTAATGACCCGTCAAAACAAGGTAACCCACGTGCATTCGCAGGCAAGTCCTTTATAACCCAAACCAGAGAACCAAGATATATAATAGCTAATGCTTTTATTAGGCTTCAGAACGAACACGACCTAAACTTGACCTAACCAGGAATTCTTGTCTTTAGAGCACAGCTAACAGCAACCAGCACTCCCCCATCACAGAGAGGAGAGCATGAGCTCACAGCAGGAGAGCACAAGCTCACCACAGAGAAAAATGAGCATGACCAGCTCAATAGTTTCTAGTAACAAGTGGTACACTAACAGTAATTCTCAATCAGGAAAATGAACAGGAAAAATATCTCACTGAACAGATTGGTGACTTTGCAACTGTCTTCATCTTGAAGGATAAATAAATACTTCAGGAACAGTTAAAAATCTAATTCTCAAATTGTTTTTGTAGTGGTTTCAGCAGCTGCCTGATCAATTTGACAGCTGTCCATAAAACTTCAAGGATTATATCATAAAAACCCCCAGAACAGATTAACTATCCAGAGCTTGGCTGTCAACTCATTCCTCCCCTGGCCCCCACCTGTAAACTTACCTTCTCTGTTGCAACACAGCTCTTGGATATGCTATAAATAAAGACAAACATTTCAATCAACACTGAAATTAATAAATGGAGAAAACCACAGTTAAGACACGCAAGCGCCTAAGCCTTCCCCAGATATGTCAGACCACCAGGAGCAGACAGGAGTACCTGCCATCAGAGTGCACACTGCAAGTCCGTGCTTTAGTGCCCATCGCAGTGTCTATCCTTCATCATCTAAAAACAGACCAGAAATAATGGCATTTCAAACAGGAGAAAGTTATTACAACAGAGTACAGGCCCTCCAATCCTACCCCATGGAAAAGGGGGAGCTGGCATTCAGCAGATACAAAAGCAGTAAAAGTGAACAAAATAGAATTCACAATCTCAGAAAAGGCTCTTCATTAATGTGGTGAATAATTTGAGATTGCTAGTAATATTAGTAATATTAACATGTAAATATTAATATAGTCCTGCAGTGAATCTGAGCAGGTGTTAAACTGTCCTTCTGCCTCTGTAAAGCCAAAGGTAAGTGAAACAAAGTCACCTATTTCACATGTCACCAAATATCCTGAATTACTGAGGTAGACTTGGAAAGATCCTCATAGTTTTTTTCAAAATAAGCTACGAATCTTTGCATCTGTATAATTATCTATAAAAACACAGGACTGAATCTGGAAACCAGAACGCAGGTGATGCTCACCTGAGCTGCTGCTTCAGTTCACTAAAAGAAATGTGATGTACTGCCAGAGCTGATTTCAGCTGTTTCTACACCTCAGTCTTTGAATACCAGTTTGGAGGGTTGGTCCGTGCTAAGTAATAAATATCCAAGTTTCTTGACTCTAGCAGCAAATCTTTCTTCTTTTTAACTCTGTTCCTCTTGCCATGTGTTGGATGCTTCTCTTGAGAATGCAGAATAAAAAGAAATCCCAGCTACTCTGGAACAGATCATTAATTTTTCCAAACTGCCCATTAAGGAGAGAGAAACTGTTCAAAGATGGATCAACCTGAACATTCTGCAGATGAAATAAAACACAACAGTCACTTAGGCATTTCATAATGTTGTGGAGCAGTGACATTAACTGGCATTTACTCACACTTTTTTTAAGACAAATCCACTAGGAACAGGCAAGGATGTAAATTCCTAAATGACTGATGTACTCCCATGAATGACAAACAGGCAGCCTGCAAGATTTTGTGTTGCCTACGCAAGTATAAGTGATGATACCTGTCAAGATGTCACCAAGAAGGTGCCATTGCAGGAGGCAGTGCTCTCCCTGAGAGCATCTTCTAAGACTAATGGCCAAAAGCCATGAATACAAAACCCCACCAATTTCAGAGAATCTACAGATTTTAAGATTCAAGAGCAGTGATCACAACATCCTATTTCCCTAAAATAGGAATGAAGCCAAAGAAATCTTCATTTCCTGAACCCTAAAGAGATCAAGAGACATAAGCTAAGCCAGGCTCATGATCCAGCATAGGCCAGAGACCAGAGATCAAAGAACCCAGAAGAAAATCACTTGCCTCAAATGGATGTGACCAACTGTTCCAAGAAGCAGTGATGGCTGATGGGATCCTCCTGTCAGTGTGCAGATCTAAACCTCTAAAACTCACTCAAACCAAGCTGACCTCTGGACCCAAAACTCTTGGGTCACAAGAAGCGACATTTCTATTAGAAAGGACTCAGGCAATAGAGCAAATCCTCAAAGCCAGAAAAGGCTTGATCTCATCCTTTCTGCTACCGCTGGTACTGCTCTAGAAGCTGGAAACTCTTCCAAGCTGGTACTCAGCAGTGCTAGGAAGGCAGCACTACAGAGATGGGAAGATCTCAACAGAACAGGAAGGTATTAAGAGTCAATGAAGCAGCATCACCTCAAACAGCAACACCTCAAATGTCACCTACTACTGCCCCATCACAGATATTACCCAAGACTCTGAGGGATGTCAGGAGGTTCTATTCGTGGACAAAACCCACCGAAGTGAACAAATGGAACAAAAATATTTTATTTATTATAAACATACGGCGGGTAGGAGGTTGGAAGACCAAGTTCTGAGGAGTCATCATGAAAAGAGGAAAAGATCCTAGCCCAAAGGAGAAAGGGTCACACATAAAGTAGAAGTACCAAGAGACAAACACAGACCTCTGTGGCAAAACATATATAAGCTGAAAAGCCGCAGGAAAAACTACACTTTTTGTTGGGTTTTGGCAAGACCAGAAACCTCCCTGTCACCAGGCTCTTGAGAGAAACTGGAAAGGACACAGGTGTACGGGGCCTGACACCTTGTGACCAAAGCAGGAGAGGCTGCAGGCACAGGTCAAGCACAAGATAAGTATGACTGTGCTGCTTTCAAAGTGACAGCCACTCTGCAAACAGCTGCAACACTTCATGAACACCCTGACCTAACACTGCTCTATCAGCCCTGAGACGTGACAATCCAGCACTGTCACCTCAACTCAGGAGGCTCAATGGCTCCACACAGGCCCCCTCAGGGGCCCCGTCCCAGCTCCCCACCACGTCCACAGTAACAGCTTCAGTGAAAAAATTCCATCTTCTCATAAGCTTGTATGTCGTGGGTGCTGGGGGCTTTTGGGGGTGGTTGTTGTTAAGGACATGCTAATATGTCCCATCTGTAATACTGGCAAAGCATCAGAAAAAACAAGCTAGAAAAGCAAAACTTTGACCATTGCCAGATGCATTAAGGCTAGCAAGGAAAAGGTGTACCAGTGCCTTACCTCTCTCCAGCTCCCAAGGGCTGCCCTCCTTCAGCCAGGAGATGCAGTGCTGTGCTGCTCTTCACCAGGCATCAATGAACAAAACACCAGAACTGTTCAATTCTTCTCCCAACCCAAATCACAAGCAAAAAAAGCAGGCACTGAGCTCCACTTACGAGAACACAACTGATTTTCATCCTGCTCTGCCTCTCTTGTCATGGCTATTACTGAGTCTCACAAAAATTGCATGTCAAGTCTCACAAAGCAGCAGGTACCTGACAAAGCACTGAGTCAGGTGACACCCAAAAAGGTATTTTCAGGCAAATATAATGGGTAGTTACACAAACAGTTCGCTATCTCACCTCCACTAGAAGCTCATTAAGACCCAATTTCCTAAACACTTCAATTTAAAATACAGAAACACAGGACAAAGTGAAATACCATTTTGCTTTGTTTGGTTTTTTTTCCTTTTTAAATGTTTGCAAGGAGAATCAATTCTAAACTGTGAGGTAAATATGAGCCACGCCTTCTGATAGTGCTGACTGGGTTCGTGATGAACTAGAAGAGATTGAGAGGGACGGAGCCTAAGTCCAGGAAACCTAGAAAAGGAAAAATATTCAAAAAATATAACAATAAATATTGAAAAGAAACTAGAGAGACCTATAATCTTCTGTCCCACTTCTCTACTTGTAAGTTATTTCTTCTTTTCTTTTTTTTTTATTTTTCCCCTAGCGTAGGTTGCAAAGGGGCACTGAAGAGCCACCTACTGGAAGGCCCAAATTTCTTCAGTCCGGATACAGCTGAAATTTGTGTGCAAAACTCTAAGATGCCATTATAAATATTTCAGAAACAAGTTCTGCCTGAGCAATTTCAATTCAAAAACCACTGGACTAAAATTAAGCTTGATTTAAGTAGTGGAGTATAGCTTGCTTATACCAGGTATTATTCCAGCAAGTATAAGAGCATGGTACCCAGCACAAGAACCCAGGATGTGATTGATATTTGTGCTCTAGTAATCCCTTTCCACCTGTTTACTATTCTGCCAGACATCATCTGGCAGCTGCATCAGTCAGGAGATGAAGAGCAGCTCTGCCCTGCAGGCCACGACCCACAGCACTGCCACAGGCTGGGAGTCACCCTAAGGGAAACAGTAATTTTGCAAGATTTTTGTAAATTTAAAAGCATATCCAGGCTCCAGTTCACTTGACACTAGGACACAGCTTTAGAATCCGTGTGCGTGTGTGCAGAGGCTGTAACACCAGATGGCATAAATGAAGTGGAAGGAATCCTTCCTGAGATCCCTTCAGGAAAGCCAGCAAACTTCTCCACAGGTACAGACACGTAACTTACCAGCTCAATTCATACGGCATCTGGAATGTTCTTCAGGGTTATTTTGAGAGATGAGAACGGAAGCTAAAACATCATTAGTAAATAAAAGGGTCCAGGCATTTGTGTACTGAAGATATCAAATAACAATGAGTTTTAACTTTTTCAGAGCCTAATTTTTGATTGCTGTTAGTCAACTATAGTTTCTAAAATAGCTTTTTTGATTTAGAGAACTAACTGACAAAAAGAAAGGCATTCTACACACTATAGGCTTTTGCTTCACCTTTCATTCTGTCATCTTCCAGGCAGCAGTAAGACACCTGCAGTGGCTGAAATGTTGTAATGACAGGACTGAACCATGAGTGTAACAACCAAATGAACATTTAATCATGCATTACATCTCAATTTTCATCAAGCAATCCTATCTCTCTAAGTAACTACAATCATTCCCAGGCTCTTGGTATTAAAGTCTGATTGTGGGTTTTTTTTCCTCACTAAAGATTTTGTGGTCTCAGTTTGGAACAGAGAAGAATTTTTGCTAACACAAGCAGAGGCTCTGTGCATCAAAAAGAAGTCTATCTTTGCTTAAGATCCACCTGGCTTTGCTAATCCCACACTTCCTCCTGGGGGTCCTCTTACAAATTTATACACAGCAGACCCTCAGTGCCCAGAGGATTCATCAATTCAGGCATCATCGTTTAATTCTTACCTACCAACACACTAACTGACAATGGAGAATCAATGTGAACTATGTACCCCCACATTTCTGTTACATGAAGAGCAAAGTTCACAGTCTTTATGGTCAGATCCAGCTCAGTATCTGAAAAATATGCATTAAGTTACACAAAACATCCTTGTGGTCTGTCTTGCATTAATTTACACATTACTAGAGGCTTTGTAAGAAATATATGATGGTTAAAAATATGTAAAACACACAACTTCTTTGCATTCCAAGCTTGTAGAAGCTCAACCTGAAACACCCACCGAAGACAGCACAGATATCATTTAGTGTTAGTACTTGCTACTCCACTCCTGGTTACTCAGCCTACAAGCAATTTATTACTTTGGATTTGTATTTCATGCTAGGAAAAAGCTGTTCCATTGCTGCTGTGATTTTCACCATACACTTGCAGAGCAGTTTTACCCTGTATCCTTACTCCAAAGGGTGCACTCCTAATGGGACTAACTGAGCTGAGAGGAAGAGATGAAAATGGAAAGATACAGCACACTGGAAGCATTCTAGTAACAAAAAAAACAAGCTTGTGTTACTTTTTTTAAAAACCACCATCAACGTTATGAGGCTTTCTTCTCCCTATCCAAATACTGCTCCTATCTTGTCACCAGTTATCATATTTAGAAAAATTTAAGACCTACAAACACAGAAGATCCAGACTACATCATCTGACTACATGAGATTTCTTTTAATGCAACTTTGGCATGACTGCAAGTGGTCCTTTGAGTGCCCATGAAAAATTCTCCTGGAATCTTATACTGCAATTCAGGGTTTTCAGAATTCACATGCATTTTGCCTCAAAAATCTGAGATGACTTTACCTGCCTGACATGCACACCTCAGAAGTAGAAGCACTCTAATAAACTCTACTGGTCTGTGATGGGCACTTTTAGAAAAGCAAGATGACTCATTCCAGGAGCACAGTCCAAATGTATTCTTTAGAGATATTACAGGGAGACTGAAGTCAAACAGCAAGCTCCTCCAGCATGCTGCCTGCCAGCTGACTCCATAACACATTTACACAGAGCAGTCTAAGTCCTTCAACAAGATCCTGTAATGCACAAGAGATGCCACATCCTTCCCGTCTCTGGATGGAATTCCCCCGTTCACCCACACATCTGTGTCACTTGCTACAGCTGCCAGAAACAGCAGCCGCTCTCTGCATCCCACATGCATCACTCCTTTCTTCTAGCCTTGTACACAGGCATTATCACCAGATTATTTTATTTTTTAACTGAAAGGAAAACCTACAAATAACTCCTCAGCGGTTGTCCTCAGCTGAGGAACAGTCCACTATTACCTGCGTGCACCTTAAGCTGGACACCTGAAACCATTTCACCTACTTCACTGTCTTGGCCTTCCTACTCAATTCCTGGAAACTTCTTTATGGTTCCTTTGATGTAGCTACTCGTTCTGCCTCGGAATGGCTGCCTGCCTGACATGGAATCATGGCTACATGCAACATCAAGGAGATGTAACCAACACACTCCCAGTAAAATCAGACTAGCAGAAGTGTTTCCCATTTGGAAAGTCACACTGCAAATGATGGGATCCACCACACTCAACCTTCTTGTATGGTTCATTCTCCTACAGCATCCACCTAGAGCACACAAAAAGCAGCATCCTGGTCCTTCCCCGGGTCTTACTCCCAACTCTACACAAAACCTGCACTGCAGCCAAACCAGAAACCAGAGTGTTGTTGTGATCCTAGAGGAGTTCCCCAACGCAGACGACAGCACTAGCAGAGAAACACCTGCATTAGAAAGGACTGTTCCTTGCACTGACAAACTCAAATGTCTGTAAAACTACCTACCACCAGATACTAACCCATAAAGGATGATAGGAAATGGAAGAGTTCAGATGAGAAAACAGGAAAAAAATAAAACCATTTCCTAAATTTAATAAAAATTCCAATATTTGACTGTTGAAATTTCTTCAGATAAACAGGTCTCTGTTTACTTCACGTCTGTATGAAGCTCCCCAATACGACCAGCAGGAAGGAAGGACTTGTATGACTATATGGAATAACCCAGAATTAACATATTGTACTAAACAAAGAATATTAGGAGAATATGGTTCTTTTATCAACTCTAGTAAGCCTGTTTGTGTACTTTACACCGTTTCAGGCACACTATCTTCAGTTTCTTTTCCTGCTAAACTTGGTACAGCAAGTGTGTTCTCTGAGTTGTAACTTTAATTCTGGTTAATCCACACACATGTATGGTGTTAGCAAGGGCAGAATATATATCAGTTGTAGAGGCTTTATTCCAGTGGCTAAAGTATACATCTGCGTGCACCTTAAAAACTAAAATGGGAAGACTCAGAAGCAGGGAGAAACAAGTCTATTCATGGGAGAAAATGGCTGGGTGTCGAAGATCAATAAACATTGCTGCTCACTGCATTCTCTTCGAAAGGAAATAGGTGGTTTAAGATATGAAAAGTGTTCCAGAAATACTCTGAAGTATGGTTTTACTCAGTTTAGAAACTACTGTTGTGTCTGCATTTTAATAGACAGGGATTCTTACAGAGTACACATTTCACAGGTCAATGCACGCTGCTTTCACAGCAGTCCCTTCAGTGACACCACCAACAGAACCGGCAGATGCTTCAGTTAACTGCATTTCTACCTTGGCGGATCAGGGAAGGGTTCAATCACAAATTGAGAGTTTCCTGAGAGTTACTCGAAGTCCACTTTGTGCCAGACAGGTGTGCATCAGGATGAACAAAGTGTCACAACAGGAGTGGGAGGACCCCAGGTCTCTGTCACTGTCCTCCCCTGGGAGGTCTCTGGAGCTCCCCACCTGCAGCTCTCTGGAGCACACCCTACACACCAGCAGATCCCCACAGAATGGAGTTGGAGCCTATGGACAATAAGCCAGAAGGGCTGGAAACTATTCTCATTATTTTGCGTATTTAAGTATTGCTGCCACTTTCAAAGTAATGGGAAGAGCCTCCCACTGTGAGAGTGACCTCAATTTTGCTCCCAAGGACCTATGTGCATTCACAAAATATTTGTTCCAACTCAAGTTACAGACCTCTGAGAAAAACTTCACTGCTAAGAGACCTTCAGAAGGGAGGATAAACTCCATTAGTGAAGATGACTGGCTAACTAGTCTAATGTACAACTATTTTCCTAAATGTCTGATGTCCCCTTTTTCCACAGATCCGTCATTCTGTAGAAGTACAAAGTAGAAAACTTTCCAAGTTAATTCACTTCAACTCTTCACTCTCATAAAAACGGCACTGAAAGAAGCCTAATTCAGTACGAAATCTTTATGCTCAGAAGACCAATTTTCTTCAGACTGCCAAAAACCTCTACCTTGCAAAAAAAAAATCTTCATAGAAAGCCAGGTTATCACACCTCAGTCTCAAGAATTCAAATATATGGTCTTTATATAACTAGAGAACAGAAAACACAGAATTATTATAAAAAGTTTAAACGAGTGAAAATTCCTGAAGGTAAAGGAATAAACATTTCAAGTGTTGCTTCTGAGAAGGATGACGATTCCCACTGCAGAATTGAACTCTGAACCCCCTATGCTAGACTCTAGACTTTCTGCTATAACAAAAGAACACTGTTTTTTTATTTATGTCTTAATTCAAATTTCCGTTATTACTTATTCCTCAGTGAAGGGGGGGGTGGAGCTAATCACAGCAATTAAGAGCTGGACAACTGCACTGGTTTTCTTCCGTGTGTATAAACACAAACATGCTGCCAATCCACACTGCACACATCTCATCTCAGAAAAATCACTGAGTTACTCAAATTCTTGCACATTTATATCTCATTTCAGCAACTTCTACTGATGCAACCACACATTTGATGTTCTTTAGCTGCTTCTATTTTAAACCTCAGCTCAGTTGCTAAAAGGATTTTTGAAGCTATTTTCAATGGAAGAAGAAAGATGACCTACATTGGCAGAGCTGCCTCTCTGGTCGCACAGCCTCCCGCAGTGGGGATGGTGCAGCCTTCACTGCAAGGACCCCACTTTGGCCCAGTGAAATAGATTTAATTTGTGACCTTTGGATTTTACATGCTACACTGCACACCTTTCTGAACCCATTGCTAAGGCATGCAGCTGAAAACATCTATCTGACATGAAAGAAAAGGCTAAAACTGTACAACCAAGAGTCAGTCAAACGAAAAAGGAGAGGGGAAAAAAGCACATTTATTTATTATGAACAGCCGTTAGAGAAACATGGAAAAGATTTAATGTCTACTAGAAACATTAAAGAAAATGCATATTCTAATGCTTTGCAGACATGAGAAATAATGAATGTTTATTTGCATAAAATGGGCAAATTTAATGCAAATTAGCTCATAAGAGTATGCCTACATTGCTGTGCAACATCTATCATCTAGAAATGATAGAAATCTAGAAAATGAGTTCAAGATCTCATACTTCGTGTATAAGGAATAATATCAAAGAAATTTGAAGAATCCTGCAGTATTTTTACCTTTACATACCACATCAAAAAGTCATTTTAAAAACAGCAAGGTCCACTCAAAAAAATCTCAAACCTTGCAACTGGCCTTTGCACCTGCAGCTTGCTGGCTGTACAGATCCGAGACACTGCAGGGAACACTTTTCTCTATCTCTGCAAAAGAAGACAAGTAGAGGTGTACAGCTAATGGAAGAGTTGAAGAGAGAAGCCACTGTTAAGGCTTTAAGCATCCTCATTTCTCAGGAACCTTAAATTCAATGTCTACTAGTATCAGAGCAGCAAGAATTGCTCAAAGAGAGTAACCTCATTGTAACAGTGCTGATGGTTGAACATTGGTTTGAATCTGAACGAAAAGTAACTGAGAAATCCTGCTGGCAAATTAACTGGGAAACACTGTTATGTGTTTGCAATCTGAAATTTAGTTTTGCCTCTCCTACGTGCAATACTCTACCAAAAAGCCTACAGACTGCTTATTAGATGTAATGCAATGTATTAGCATCCTGCAAAGGTACAGTAATTCAAAAAATCAAAGCTACAAAAATTCAAAACAACACATATGGCATAAAGACTGATCATCAGTAGGGGTTTTGTAGTGAACCCCTAAATAATAGCTGAAAAAAAAATTGGTGGGGCAGAAAAACAAATCTGACAGAAATGCTTATGAATAAGAGTTGTCTTTAAAGTTGTGTCCACCAAAACTTTTAAGTTGAATCTAGAACTGTTTGGAAACGAGAATAAAGGTGGCTGCTCAACTTCCTGGAGTAAACACAACGTAGTAAGCATGATCACGCTTTATTATGAGCGTACAGGTCAGCTATCTGGCTATCAAAGGATCCTTTTATGACATACACTCCCTCTAGTTTTCGACCCTCTTGAACATGACTTGCAATCCTCAGGAATGCCAGTGCGTTAGCATTCTCCTGGCTTAATTTTTAGCACTGTACAAGATCTCTGGACTCCCAGCAGAGTTCAATGAACACCTCAACACAGCCCCTCCAACTCTGACCTTCCTGACACTCCATGAAGGACACTTCCAAGGTGGTAAGAGAGCGCTGACTGGAGCACAAACAGATTTATCAAATACCTGAAAAGTGGCCACACCAGCAAAAATGGAAAGCAAAAAGAATTCAGTTCTTTTCCTCTTCCTGGAGCAGTACACAGCAAACTTTGGCAAGAGTCCCCAAACCTCATGCTGGACTAGAGCTATCCTTGCCAGTAACTCACGTTTAATGAAAAATGATTCGGCTGTTCCTGAACTGCTGCATTAGTGGGGTGCTCCCAAACCTGCCCAGCTACCACCTGACCACTACTGCAATTCCTCTGCCCTTCCAAGTTGCAGAAGGAAAAGATGCCCAGTCTGCAGGGTGCTGTAGGCATGGCCACGCTGGCTTTCCTTCTTTATGGCCTTGGGTTTGTTGTAGGGTTGTTTGCTTGCGTTTGGGTTTTTTTAAGAGCTTTAATCACTAAATGTTAATTTAACTAAGTGGAAAAATAATCCATGACCGTTCCAGGTCTGAGGGCATCAACTATAACTTAAGAGATCTGACCCAACCTCATAAGTTGTTTCAAATGAGACAAGAAAGTTTCAACTAGTTAACAACTACATTTTTAAACTGGAAAAGCCCTGAAAAAGGGTTTGACTAGAAATAGACTTTTGTATACTATTAGGCACTGATAAAATTCAGGGTCTGATTCTTCCCAATGGTCTGCTCTCTTCTCTCACCCCAAGGAAGATCTGTTTTTATAAGTTGCAAGAATTTTGTTTCACACAGTCCTCTTTCTGAAGGCACTAAAACTCCTAGTAGCCAGTTTTGGGTACTCATCATATGAATGGAAAGATTATTGCATAGAAACTGTGCAGATTATCTAAACTGGGTTATATTCCTTTAGCTTTTTATGGAAGTACTTAAAATAAAGCTTATTTGGAGGAGAAAAAGCCTTTTGCCTACCCATATAAATTTTTTATAACAAAATAGTTTTAAGATGCCATTGTTACTGCTCCACCAACAAACTTAAGCAACTGGTTACCCAGTGCTTTAAGGATGGAATTTCTATACACAAGAATATAAATTATTTAAGTGACTCTATAAATAAGGCTAAATTTGCCTCTTGCCTGTCTGGAAATTCCCCCAGTTAGTCTAACCTAACTTTTTTAGGTAGCTCCTTGGTATGTATGTCTGTACATCCCAACATCCCAAGTCACTGCTTTCTTTCAAAAGCGTTCCTGATGGAAGCTCAGTAACCTTTCAAAAGCTGGCAGATAAGAACTCATCCTCTATCATGCAGCCAGGGAGCAAGCCACCATGTCTGGGTGCAAAATACTCAGTGCACAGCTTTCATCTCCTCAAAACACCAATCACAACAGAGCAATAGGTAAGTTGTGGGCAAGTGCAGCAGGATAAAAACTAGTTTCAAAAAAACCTTAGGACTACTTTAATTCACTGCAATTCACCACAGACAGAATATCAGTCAGAACACACACAGCCCTTTAAAGACATCAGAGCTGAAGTGTCTATGCAGTATTACCTGGCTGTAGCCAAAAGCTCTCTTACTTTGTCAAAAGACTTCTTGTATTTTCAAAGGAAAAACTAATCTTGTTGCAAAAGTTAACCCATACGTTTATTCATGGATTAGTGTACTCCAAAGATGTTAAAGCCCCTCCTGTACAAATGATCCGCTGACATGGAGCACTTGCATCAGACAACTCAATCGAGCTCTGGAAGATGTGTGCAGCTGACTGGAAGGCTTAGCCTGGCTCACAGACATCTCACCACACTACTTGTATTTGATGCACAGTATTTAGAACCTGCCTAAAGACACCAACAGGAAGAGTCTGCTCTGCATTTAACTATGTCATTTTATTTAAGAAGTAATCCTTCACACTGAAAAAAAAAGAAATCTGCCTTAGGAGCCTCCCAGTAGCAGTTTCCAAGGCACTTCCCACTTGGAGCAAGCTCACAGCACAACTCTACAACAGACTGGTGAAAAGTTCCAGATGACCTCAAGCTCATCTTTATGAACTTTATCAGAAGAGGAGGCAGCAAGAGGAAATTTTTCTTCTAACTAGATGCAGGATTCCTCACAGCTGCTGCTGCTTCTGGGCTGCAGGCTTGGACTTCCTCAGCTATATGCTTTTCTACCTCTTTCTAATACCTGCAAGAGAAAAAATAAGCAGAACATATTTGCTCCTACTCCTCCAACTGGAAGCAACCTGACTGCACAGTGACAGCCAGTGAAACCGAAGAAAACAAGAAACATGGGGAAGATGGGAATGCATATTCCATAACCTAAGAATAGCTACTACTGCTGGGTGTTCAAGTGGAAAATCAAGCGATAAATGAAGTATTAACTAACAGGCTTGACCTGCTGTCTTACAGGAAGAATCATTTATGCTCTAGGTTTACCTCGGTAAGTAGAGGCATCAGTGACTGAAAACTGAATTAACAGCAATACCAACCTATTTTGTGAAGCTGCTGAGATTGTTTTCAGCTGCTTGTAACTTCTTCCCATGTCTCAAGCAGAACACTGCATGCTCAATATCTGACCTCAGCCAGACTCTCTGGGAGAATTGTATCAACTGAGATGGTTTGGATGTTACGATCAGTACCATTTTAACATAACTGCATATTAAATTCTTGCAGATAAATTGCACACTGGTTCTGTAACCGAGCAAAAGTCATTCAGCAAAGATTTGCGTGACAATAAAGCTCACTGCAGTGGTTCTTCCAAGCACCTACAACCTCCTGGATGCATGATACCGAGAGCAGGAAGAATTCTTCTCCTGTGATCTCAGCATTGCTACTGCTAGTGCTGAGCAGAACAAAAAGGAGGAAAAAGCTCCCTCAGAACAATGGAGAGAAAAATCTGTAACTGCAATTGGTTTTGACTGAAAAAACACAGGGATGAGTTCAAGATCTCTGGTTTTGATAAAACAGACTTCAACTTAAAACAAGGTGTTCTTATCCCTTTTGGTGTTTGTTCTATAGGTACTACCAGCAAAAAGTTACACTAATTCTCTGTCCTACTGGTTCAATATACTGAATTTTAAAATCTGATTACTTATGGTAATGGCACTGTAGAACATGCTTCAAAGAATTCTTTCAGAGAGCAGTCTGCATCCAGGAACTGCACAAAAAAGAGCATTAGACACATCAAATTGCTGCCTGTGCAACATGCATTCAGACTCCTGAGTACACCTGTTACGATACCATTAGGCACTTGAACTACTTTTAACCACAGGACTTTTAGCCTGTGCAGTATTTCACTTCCCTTTCTCTGCAGCAGTTAAAGCAGCACAGCAGGGAACTTTGGAACACAAAGGAGCTTCCACTGCTAAAACAGCTGAACGCTCTCCAGAATTAGATTTCCTTTCCTATCATGAAATTAATGCTTACACCACATCCCCTCTGAAACCCCAGTTGTGAATAAACCTTCTGCACACCAAATCTGAAATGTCTGAAGGTATGGCAGAAAGAATACTGTCATGTGAACAGGTGCTGATGCAATGGATGCTCATTCCTTGAATTAAAATGGAAATACAACCACCTCTCACAGGTTTAAACACAGAGAGAGAAAAAACTGTGTATTCTACACTTACACAAGCTCTGCAGAAAGTTCAACAGGAAAATCCAATGAGAAGACTGCACGTTCACTGGTGCTAAGGAAGGAAAAAAGTGAAACTGTGCCTGAAGCAAGGAGGGTAGGACTAGTTTGGTGTGCTTTTCATTCTTTTTTTTTTTTTTTGCATGTAATGCACTTTGGCAGCTTATAATCAGATAAAAATATATTGTGTTTTAAATTCATAAACTTCACCGGTAAGCAAAGAATGTTTGTTTTATGAAAGGAGCATGGCCCACTCCATTTATCTCCAAATTCCACATGTGAAAAAGCCAATCCACTCAGAGGTTTTTTTCTCCTGTAATGACTTTGCCATCTGCTTCCTTTTCCAGAGACAGGCCACCTGAGCATGTGCAACTACACTCACTATCAGTAGCTCCATGGCAGATTGGAGAATCCAGAGTTAAAAGAAATCCTCTTTTTTCTGTTTAAGATCTTTCAAGTGAAGATGCGTTCATGACCTTGTGTGATTGTGGTAGGCCAAGCAAAGTTTATCTGGAATTAAAACAAATACTTCATATCTGAAAAATCCTTACAAAATACCTGTACTCACCAGGTACATTTCTTCTGCAGCTGGTGTCAGAACTGGCTATTCAGTCCCACGATAAACCGTGACTGAACCTGGAATGCTCCTCTAGCCTAGTAAGCTTTTCCGATTCCTCTGCTCCTTTCCAAGTACTGCATGAATGTACAATCAGGAAAAGAAAAGTCTGCTGGCTGAGGAAAGGCACAAGATGAGCAGGTGCCATGAAGGATTCAACATGTCCAAGTATTTTAAGTTTGATTTGCAAATCTTGCTTCAGCTTTTGCTACTTGTTTGTCTAGAATTAACATATCATGCCCTCCCCAAAAGCAAAGATGATTACTAAAATCCAGTGGGATTTTATAGTGGGATCAACTACAAGTGTCCCCTTGTTCAAAAACAATTTTGTCTCAATTAGTGCCTTCTAAGCATTATCACATTCAATACATAAATGACTCAAATTATTGAAAATGATTCAAATATGCCAGTTTTGTTGTTATTTCCAAGACGAAATTTTATTATTTTCCAGAGATCTACCTGGACACATTTCCTAACAGAATTCTTAGGCTTTGAAGAAGTGGGCTGCAAGTTCTTTGCTTTTGCATGGTTGGGATAAAAAAAATCCAACCCAAACCTGGATTTAATTACAGAAGAAAAATTTAAATGTTAAAATTGTTTTATGCTTCCAGCATCCCTAAAATACCATCCAGCTTTCTTCTGAAGTGCAAGTCATCTTTATTTTCAAATTAATTTCAATTGGAAGAACCTATGCCATGCCTCTCTTGAACATGGACAAATTTAAACTTAACCTTTATCTTAAACACTTGGAATCTCTCCACGGTAATGGCAGATTTTGAAATCTATTCCAGTGCTCAAGTCTGTGGAGCTCATCTCCTCCCCCTCCCACCCCAGCCCTTTCATCTTACTGAAGGAAATGAGAAAGAAAGTTGTCTTACCGATAACTCCAAGGTTAATGTCCCCTGCGAACCCCACCTAGCAAGTCGACATCATGACATGTCAGGTCAGCCTCAATCACGCTTCCCTGATAGTCAGGTAAAAGGAAGGAGTTAAAATACAAAATTGACACTTGCAGATTTCTGGACATCAGAAAATGTGATGCAATATATTCTGAACTGTCTTTCAGAGCTTCTGGTAACCTCTAAGTTGTTAAAACATGTCTTCAGAGATTTTCTCCTGTTCTAAAATTTCAGAAGTTCGTGATCAATAACCAAGTATCACAGATCCACCTTGACTATTTTGTTTCAATGAGACCAAAAGCATAAGGTTTCCCTTTAACACAATTTCCCCCCCCACCCTACACATTTTATCAGTTAATACACGCTCAACATAACCCCTCTGGGTTTCAAAAGACAATTTAAGCAAACAGGCTACAACAGTTTCATTCAAATTCTAAGTTAACAGAAGCTCTAATTTCTTTTTGGTTTTTTTTTTAGAAAAAAATTGGAACACAACGGGGTATATCTGTAAGTCTCTGAGCTACTCACGTTGTTCACGTGAATGTCACAATTCCACTGAACAACCTCCATTGTACAAGCAATCTTTAATCACACACACTCCACCTCAAGTCATGCATGATCAAAGATCGCTCATGACAGATTTATAGGACAGGTCCTTGCTGTTCTATGGATGGGCCACCAGTATTTTGGACAACAATTAAGACTTGCTGAAAATTACATACATCTGCAGGACGGTCTACATGTCTGAAAGGTTTAAGACTTTTTGCTCAATACCTCAAACTTACTTCCCTGCTAGCCTTATAATAAGAGTGCCCTCTGTATTTTTTGTCTGTGTAGTTCAAAATACAGAAATGGGCTTCATGTCCAAATATAGAGGGGGCAAAAAGTGGTCAGGTTTTTATACAGAGTCCCCAAAATCATCCGGTGATCTTCTACTTTGAGTTTATTTTGGAAAGGTTTAAGCAATGCAGTTGTCATTCTTTAATAATCACACTACAGAAGCTGAGACCTGAAAATAAACAATTGCTAGAAAAAATTAAACCTTTAATTAGTAAAATCATAAGTTGAATTTAGTAAACTGATTTTGTTAATAAAGTGAAATTCAGTCTATAATAACACAATAGCTATGAAAATACTTTGCTCAAGTTTTGGAACTACTAGGAATCTGATAACCTACTACTTAAGTCAAACACCTTATCAATACAGACATTTAAACAACTGCTATAAATGAGTGATCAAATGATTATTAAAATCCCATTTCATGGCTCCTCCTCCAATGCCAGCAGGACACTCATAAAAGCCGAATATTGGTGTGCAAGTTGAAATCCATTTTCAACATGTTATAAAGGATTTTTGTTAAGATATACTGAAGAAACAATCACAACAGATGCACAAGAGCAAATTCAATTTTTTTTTTTTTCCAATATATCAAAACTGTGCTGAGAAATTCTTCCCTGGAGTCAGGCATGGTAGTTTTCCACTGTGCTACAGTATCTTTGCTCTGTAATTTTTTACAATAATTTCATTAAGTTCTTCAACTTCAGCACACACCACTATTTGAGTAAGCTGTAGCACGCATTATCTTTAAGGATTCTTAGAAGTACTGCTGCAAATTTAAATGGTGAATTTGAGTAGCCATAAACCATGAAAATCAAAGAATTTGGTGAATCTTTTAAATATAAACTGTTACTGACTTTAATTCTTATAATTTTCAA